TATATATATATATATATATATATATATATATATATATATATATATATATATACATATATATATATATATATATATATATATATATATATATATACATATATATATATATATATACATATATATATATATATACATATATATATATATATATATATATATATATATATATATATATATATATATATATATATATAATATATATATATATATAATATATATATATATATATATATATATATATATAATATATATATATATATATATATATATATATATATATATATATATATACAAAGGTTGAATTAAGCGATCGCGAAATGATAAATCCAGAAAAATATCTGGCCTTCAAAGTTTTAGTTTATGCAAAACCATGTTCTTTTTTTTCAAGGAGCAAATCAACTTAAATTTGTTAGTGAAAAAGTTATAAAAAATAAAATAATAAACTTACGACTACAAAAGTAACTAGTGTTATTTACTTTTGTAAAGTCTTTTTTATTTACTTTTGTAAAGTCTAGTCTTTAACTGCATTATAAAAGTAGTAACACTATAATAGTGTTATTACTTTTATAACGCACTTTTAACTTTTAAATTCATTCTTTCTTCAAACAAAATAACTAATTCCAAATTTTAATTGTATTGGAAAAGCATCTAGAGAAATAGAGTGGATATTCAAATAATAAAAACTTATTAAGGAACTTAAACAACTCTATAAAAACGTACTGTATAAAAAGTTTAGCATTATGAAAAACGTTACTAATGGTCCATAAAAACCCGCGTTAATTTTAAGATCAACCAATAAAAAGTTTTTATAGGTTGATTTTAAAATTATCACAGGTTTTTACGAATTATTAGTAACGTTTTTCACTATACTAAACTTTTTGTAAAGAACATTTTTTTAAAGTTGTTTAAATGTATTTGTAAAAGTTCCTCAAGTTTTAAATAATATTTAAATTTTTTTATTTTTTTTTAGATTTTTTTTTTTACTTTGATTAAAGTTTGGAATTATTAATCTTGTTTGAACAAAGAATGAACTTTAAAAGTTATAAGTGCTTTATAAAAGTGATAACACTATTATAGTTTTATTACTTCTATAATGCAGTTGGTGACTAGAGTGTTTTTATTTACATAATTACGTTTGTAGTTGTAAGTTTATGGTTTTGTTTTTTATAACGTGAACTCTTTACACGTTGTGTCGATTTTATGTCTGATGCATTATGTATCTTTATGCACTTTATGCCTTTATGCAGGAATCTTTTGCTAAAAAGATTGTGTTTAATTTTTATTTAGTTAAATCAGATATTTCTCCAACAAAAGGAAGTTTAAATTATTGACAATTTTGTAGGTTTTCCGAACGCAATGTAATATTCGCACTGGTGTAGGTATTATAAGAGCTATAGATTTTCTCAATCAACCAAGAACGGTACAAGTTGCGTTTAAAATATAAAAAAGATCATTATTATAATGACTAATACCGAAATTAGTGTTGTTTATTTTATAAGCTCTATTGACTAAACATCATTTAACTTTGTATGAAAATGAAGTAAAATTAAAAGTTTGTGTAAAGTCCCGAAAAAGGTTATCTTATAAAAAACAGTGGTAATTGTGGAATTGTTTGTTTCATTTAGAGTTGGGTTTAATTTATAATAATAATAATTTAATTTATTTTTCTTATTATTGATATACTCCAAGAAGAAATTTTGTGTGATTTTCAGAAATGCAGATTATCTGCTCAATGTTTATAAAAGGTTGGTTTTTCTCCGTATTTAGGTATTAGTGAAGATAGTAGTTAAGAAATTTAGCTAATTGATAATTATAGATACCAATGGATGATACGATAGGTCTGAAACCTATATTATTATCAGAAGAAACATCTTATGCAATTTCAAAATGCCATAGATGTGGACAACGAGAGTCTGAAGAATTTATTTTATTATAGTTAAACTATAATAAAATTTAATTTTATATCATCACGTTCAGAAAACCTACAAAATTGTAAATATTTTAAACTTCCTTATATCAGAACAATATAATTAATTAATCTCTTTCATAATAATTGAATATATTGACAATGAACAAGAAAGTTTGTAACAATCATTCATTCTTTAATAATCTTTATTCATTAAACAACAAGTAAGAACTGGTTCACTGATCTTTTTTTTTTTGCTGTTTCCCATTTAACTAAATCTATCAGATTTAGTTAAATGGGAAACAGTTTTAATTTAGTATTTATCATTGGTACTTTTCTTTTTCTTTAAAATAAAGTTGGTTTTCATTGGTTTTCTATTTTGACATTTTCTTTCAACTATGTCTTTATTTTTTTAATAATTTTCAGCACAGCAAAAAATTTCTTATTTCAATGATTTTCAGCACAGCAAATCTCCTTTTTCATTCATCTGAACTACACAGTTCGATGAATGAAAACATCGTCTGAAGAATACATTTACTGCGTGCGTTCCAGGTAGATGAGCAGACGTATGGTCTTATTTATTCTAATTTTTAATCAAAGCTAGTTGTTTAAAGATATTACATGGATCACTAATCCAGCTATTATTTATCTCAAATAAATAGTTGTATAATTTGTTGTGCATAAATTTATTACAATTGGAAATATAAATTATAGTTTTTAACAAAAATAAAGTATTCATTATTTATTTACTAAACTAAGAATATCACCTTAATTTCATAATAGAATAAACTCACATTATAAACTTTGTTTTTCCATTCAAAGCTGACATTAAAGTGGCAACTCGTTGGTATGTAAAGCACAAATCTAGATTAGTTTTAATCCCAGTTTCTTCTCTAAATATCGAGTGATTCTACCCTTCCAACATTTTGTTTTTCATTTTTAATAAATTTAACAACATTTAAATAACAAAAGTTTTATATTTTAATGAAATAAAAATGGAAATTAAGGTTGGTTGAGTCTCCACCAGTTGCAACTATTTGATTTTTAACTCTATGTGTTGTTATCAAACCAAATATAACTATTCAGCAATATGTTCTGCAGGTGTTTGACATCTCTCTCCTCTGATTTGTTTATGTGAAACAAATATCTTCCACCAAGCTCAGAACAGAAATAATAATGATCTTCTTTGATCTTCTTTTGGTGATATTTGCCACCCTCACCATATGCAACAGTTTTTATAAGGTCTTTTCTACCATCATAGATTTTATTTTAACTTCATTCGTATGCTTCTCTTTAAAAGCTTCCAATACTGTTCGCTTTGATCTATAAATTTTTTTATGAACCAGAGTTAGACTTGCATCAAGATTGTTATCTCTTAAAAAAATGTGTATCCTTGGCTACTTTTTAATGTTGCAGTGCCTAATGATGCAGCTGCTTTTTTTACTTATACCAAATCTTAATGTTGACAAAGCAATATCATTTACTTTTAAGGTGTTAAGCTTGGTTATTTAGTGAATAGATATTGTCTTTATAATCATTGTCAAATCTGACTCCATATCATGTTGAGACTAACTCCATATCATTTTGAGATAGGAATGCTTTCTTTGTTCTGCTTTCTTTGATAAATTTCTTTGAAATTTGAAACTATTATCAGCCTCTTTTTCGTTTTCATCTTCTCTTTTATCAACCGTATTTGTATAGCACCTTTTATTCTTCTGTGACTTTAAAAATTAAAGTTCAATAACAGGAATTTAGTTTTCACTAGAACATTTGCAAAAGATATGAAGATTCTGGATGCAACCATCATAGTTTGCTTCTTTGTATGATTTTATTGAACATTAACACCTTACAACATCAATCAGTTTATCTAAGATCTCTCTATGGTCAGAAATTTGTTTAGAAGTTTCTCTACTTAATGCCAGTTATTTTTCTTCCATTTATTAATGATTCTTTCATTCCTTCTTTTTATCAGAGATAATAGGTATAAGTGGATTAGCATTTTATCATAAATATTTTACTGAGGACCACAATTTTTGAGAAATTTGCTTTATATTTATATCATTTTTTTTCAATCCATCTAAGAAACAGATTGGCAGCTCTGACTTTAATAAAGTTTTTCCTGTACTATTAAGCTACTTTAGCTTACATCTAACTTTATCACAAATTTTGTGAGCCTTTATTTACAACTTCACCTTTATTTCTATAACATGTGTACTTGCTCCAATATTTTGTTTAGAAATGCGACTCATAAACAGCTGTTAAAGTTGTTACTTGTGGTTCAAATTCAGCATAAAAAAAATCTTTCTGAGCTCCTCATTGGTACAATTTTTCCAAATTTTTAATATCCCATTTTAATGGTAAAAAATACCCTAGGTTATTGCAATTTAAGATCATATATTATTTGATTGATTGATCTGACAGTGATCAAAAAAAAGATGATTTTATTTAGAATAGTTTAAGGTGATATGCCTAATATGTAAATCAACTAAAGTATGTCCAAACAATATATTTATGATAAAATCGATGTTTTCAAGTTTAAAATTTTTATCTACTATATCCTGCATATATAAAAAAAATTTTACTAGTTTTTCCTAGCATTAGGCATTTTCAGAAAAATGTTTAGATAACATTTCTGTTGTCAGGCTGAAATAACCTGCTGCCAGGAGGCTTCAGTACATAGATCAACTATTTTATACCCTGCTGTAATAAAGGATTTCTGCTACATCGACTGAGGTTTGGCATGGGGCAGCAATCTTTTCTTTCATTCTTTTTATTTTCTTTTTCTTTTCTGAAAATGTTATATGCTATAAAGATAGGATGAGCAGTTAACAATTTGTTATCTATATACATTATAGTATGTTTATGTATATATATATATATATATATATATATATATATATTATATATATTATATATATATATATTATATATATTTTATATATATATATATATATATATATATATATATATATATATATATCTGTGTGTTTATACATATATTTATGATGCACTTATGCGCGTAAGTATTTTAATGAGTGCATCATAAATAATTTTTAAATTTTTATAAATACCTTAACAAAAATATTTGTTGTAGGCACCAAATATCTCTCTTTGGTATGAAGTATGCAGTGTTGTGTTTGAGTTTTTTTTAAAAAAAAATGATCACAACTCTCATTTAAACACCCTAGCCCAAGCATTGGATTTAGATTGGAAGTTTTCTGAAAAGTTGGTGTTTTTTTTTATACTTAAAAATTTTTTTATTGAATTTTTTGAAGTTTTTTATTTGAGTTTTATTTGTTTTGCAGTCGTTGTTGCAAAGTATTACCATTAGCCACAAATGCTTATCTTGATAATTTGCCTTCTCATTATACACAATCTGTGCATCTGAACCAAGTTAGTTTAAAAATGAAAAACAATTTTTGAACCATCTCAACCAAGTTAGTTTAAAAATGAAAAAGATTTTTGCTAATTTTTAATTTATTAGTACAATTCCAAATTTTTAAAGTTTTTCAAACTAGCTAAATGCCTGTATGCACGTTTTTGCAATGAATGCTCGCGGCCCAGCTTATGAACGCTATGCTACGCAACTTCAAGAAGATTGTAATCAAGTTTGGTGGAATGGTAGACATTTGTGTGAAGGCACAAGTATGACAGGACAACCTTGCGTGTATCCAGTTAGTTTTTTATTTTTTGTTTTGATTGTTTTAAATGTGGTTTTTCGTTCAATGTTATTATAAAAAATTATTTTATTTATATCATGATATTGTAAAATATTATTTTATTTATATCATGATATTTTTTGATTATATTTCATTATATTGTACTATGATTTGTTATTTTTCATTATATTGTTTTTTTATGGTATTATTGAAATTATATTATAATATAAAAATAATAGTCAGAGATTAAAATCCCATTATTAGTAACACAATAGTACTATTCAGAAGTACTAAAACAATTGACAAGAAATCTACAAAAAAATTTTCAATAGAGTCTTTTTTTGAATGTTTTTAAAGAGATTGTTGTTATTTTCATTGACGATCTAATCTAAATCCAAGATGCAGTCATGTAAAAAGATTTTGAGATTTAGAAAAGTTTTTGGTTGACAATGAAGTTGGCTACTGTCTGATAATTTTGTGTTTTGATTTCCCATTTTAGGAGTTTTTTCCCCCCATTTTTAGGAGTTCTTATAGATATGCAAGAGATCGACTTTGGTCCCCATTTTTAGGAGAGACTTTCAAATCTAAGGTGATGCTAAAAATTTTCACTAAATATACTGTAGTTAGTGTAATGATTTTTATAGTGTAATGAAGAGCGTAATAATAGTGTAATGAATAAAATGTCATTTTGGAATCATCTATGCCTAGGCTGATTACAATAGTTAGATATTATCGACATATTGATGATGATTTGTACCTTTTTCAGCTGTTGTACAATATATGGATGAAATAAAACTATCTAATATACTGCCCTTTGTTGCTTCTGTTGAACTTGCTATCAGTCTAGATTCTGTTGATTTATTTTTGAACATAATTTTTGAATTGTTTGAACTTTTATTCCGTTATTTTGCTTTTTTTTTTTTTTTTTTTTTGCTTTTCTTTTTTTAACCTTTTTGCTCTAAAAAACACCTTTTGGCATTCTCGTAAGATCTGAAATACGTTTTTTGACATTTTTAAATATACCTATATATTTTACTAGAAAACTAAAGGTCGCATTGCATTTCTGACTTGCAGCTTCAAATCAATGTTTCACAGCAGTCTGGTAAAACAATAACTTTCATTTTTACTTTAAAAACCAGATAAACTATGACTTCCTAAGGTTGCTAATTTACACAATCCCAAGTTAAAAACATTATTGATGAGCTCAAAAAAATTAAAAATAATGATTCAGATGATAAATAAATGACTTCTCGTGATTTATGATACTTTAGTCTATTTTTCTAACCTTGAAATCTAAAATGTCATTTAAACTTCTTATCAACATTACTTTATATTAGCAACATTTAATAATAACACTAGTACTCTATAGAAATGTATTATCATGTTCTTAATGTCAATATATTTTCAAAGCAACAAGATATTCAGTTTCTTTAAATATTTGCATAAGGATAACATAACAAAATCTTATTTTTAATATACCTGCTCTTGCAGCCAACCTCTAACTATCGTCACATTGTTGTAATGTTGCTTTTTTTTCTCTTTCTATAAATACTGTAATGGGCACTGCTTTAAAGAGCTAGCGTTTCTTGTGCCATCTACTAAAATTCATTCTTGTGTTACTCGTCATTCAATTAAGTCTCATCCTTTTACTGTGACTGTTCTTAAGTGCTCCAAAAAATTTTATTAATCTAGTTTTTTTCCTCGAACATCAGTTATGAATATTTTGTTTGGAATATGCTCCCTTCATCTTGTTTTCCTGATTCATATAATTTGTAATCTTTTCATTTGTCTGTTAATCATTATCTTGCTTTATAAACTTCATCTTTTCTCTTCCAGTAATTTCCAACTCTAATAGTGGTTCCTTACGGTCTTGTTGGAAGTGAAAATGTTTTAAAAAAAAACCTACAACTTTAGCTAAAAATACTGTGTGCTGATTGTTCAAACCTACACAATTGAGAGTCTAAAGGTTAAATTATTTTACATTATTTTTTTACTTTTAAAATTTTTACTTTAATTTTTCTGTTAATTTTTGGTTTATTTTAAAATTCAAAAAGTTTTAAAAAAGTAAAAAATAAAACAGTTAAAAAATATGCATTTTAAATAAAGTCATCAAATACCTTTAAATACAAGTTAATATGAATATTCACTTATGTTTTAATTAACTGCTTTTTTCAGCTTTTATATGTTTAGAATGTGTTTAAGCAGTTAACAAATAAATAATTGTTGAAGGAAATAATGAAAAAATGTTATTAAAATATTTTTCAAATATTGTTAGGGAAATATTTTTTAGATTTTTAAAATATGACTTGAATGATTTTTGAAATTATTCAAAGTGTGACCTTGTAAAGTTTTTATGTAACAAACATTGAGCAACATTTATTGTTCTTTTTTTACGATCTGAAATTTTATCTTTAGTATCATACTTTACCCAATTCCAAAAATGAAAATAGTGAAGAGAAGACTGGTGTACCTGTGAAAAGTCACTCTAGTAGAGTAACAAGTGTATCTGCTTGCAATTGTGGTCGCACTCAAGGAACAAGAGAAGATCCTTTTGATATAAAGGTTTATTGCATTTGCAAGCATTTTTATTACATTAAGTATTGTTTTTTAAACAATAAATTTAAAACAAAATAATTTTATATTTTTCTTAAAATAATTTAGTTTAAAATAATTTTATATTTTTCTAGAGTGCAAACTTTACTTTCTACCAAGATTTGGAGAAGAAATGTTGTTCATATTTGATTCATTTGAACTTTCCTTATTTTCCTATTGATGAATATACGTCAACAAAAATTGGTAAAACTTACAAAATTAGATTTTTTTTAGAAAGTTTAAGTAGGAAGTAGTGGTTCAACAATTTTTCATTTAAAGTTAAAAAAAATCTTGCTTAGTATATATATTTTTTATAAATCAACAGTATTATTAATTATTATTATAAAGTTGCTTCCAGAGTACTGCCCATTATGAGAGGTATATTTTTGAGTTAGGGTGGGCGTGGAGATAGGGAACACACCCAGTTACCAAAAATATTTCAATTTGAAAAGGAATGGTGTAATAACTACATGAAATACACTAGGAATAGTGTAATAATTACATGAAATACACTAGGAATGATGTAATAATAATAGTGGTGTAATAAATATTTTTACTTATATCAGTGCAGATAAGCATTAGAAAGACTTTAAAATCAATTAATTCTTAATGTGAGTCACAGATTCACAATATCATAACTAAAATAAATAGCAAAAGTAATGGTCAAAAACCTTCATAAGATACTTTGCAACATTCCACTACTTATACTAATGATAATGATACTTTGCAACATTCCACTATTGATACTATTGATAATGATACTTTGCAACATTCCACTATTGATACTATTGATAATAATACTTTGCAACATTCCACTATTGATACTAATGATAATGATACTTTGCAACATTCCACTATTGATACTATTGATAATGATACTTTGGAATATTTGGAATCTTTTTCCAATTTATTTGGAATCTTGGAATCTTATTTGGAATAAACAATTCAGATATTGAATCCTATGTGAATCATTTCATCATTGAATCCTATGTGAATCATTTCATCATTGAATCCTATGTGAATCATGATATTTTATTTCATCTTATCTTATTACAGCCAAAACCGTCAAAAGTTTTACAAATATAAGTATGTTCTAATTCATTTGGAATCCTATATGAGTCATTCAAATAGCGAATCCTATTTGAATCCTTCATGTATTGAATCCTATTTGAATCATTTAGATATTGCATTCTTAATTGAATCATTAATCTGTTGATTTTCATTTGAATCCTATGTTAATTTTGACATTTATTTTCTACATTTAACTAGGAAGAATTTCTTTAATTTTATTTTAAATTTATTTTATAAGGTTTTTATTTCCTTACAATAATCTAGTCTTGTCTGGCATGCCAAATAGTTAACTTTAGCTTTACTTTATGTGGCTTGCTGAATGTCTAACTTTATGCGCAAAAAAAGTTCAGTCATTATAAAAATTCTCCTTTTTCAAGACAATAGAGCTGGTTAAAAATCAGGCAGTAATTATAGTCAAAACTTAAATTCTTAAAACCTTCTAGAAAAAATTCTCTATTTTATGCTGTAAGATTATGAAAAAGATATAAGAGAACAAGCTAAAAAGCCAATTATGTTTAAAAGCCACTCGAGAATTTAACCCTTACGCTTTATGGTAATTTCCTTCCCTTGGAATGGAAGAGGAGATTCAGAATGTGTCATAAAGTTGACGTACACCGCCCCTCTGTAAAAATTATAGATTATAGTAAATAAAATATTCTATATATAAATATTAATAGAGGTTTCATATGAAAATATATATTTGTATTAAAGTTTATATAGTAAATATTAAATTTGTAAGAATATTATACAAGAAAACCATGATTATATTGTAAAAACTTAAAAACTCAAATTTATCTTTTTTTTGTTATAAGTACAATAAATCCCAAAGTGTAATACAGTATTACAGATTAAGATTGCAGATTAAGAAAATACAGAAAGAAATACAGATTAAGAAAAAAAGTATGTTTAGGTAATGGTTTATTTATACATGTATGTGCGTGTCAGAGTCGTGGCTAAGCTCTCACGCACACACACACCAATAGGGGGAGTAAGTAATTTAGGGGGCCCATTACCAAATGTAAGAAGAAGCTTTTTTTTTCCATAATACTTCCGAAATTTGTTTCCCTGGTAGTACTGTGCACTACTTGTTTTTTTCGCAACCTTCATTCAACTTTTTAACTCCAAAACACGAACCTTGACCTTGTTTGTCAAGGTTCGTGTTTTGGAGTTAAAAAGTTGAAAGAGGGTTGTAACCACATTAAAGTAGCCTCCTCGACTTTAGTGGCCCTCTTGACTTTATAGAAGTAAGTAATATAATATTTTATATATATATATATATATATATATATATATATATATATATATATACATATATATATATATATATATATATATATATATATATATATATATATATATATATATATATATATATATATATATATATATATATATATATAAACATTTTTTAATTTGAAGTATCTTTGTTACTTATATATCTCTCTTATTTAAAGCTTAACGTCAAAATTTAACGTCAAAACATCAGTTGACTTGAATTATCCGATTATAGAGCTACTTTTGAAAAACCATATGTATCAATTATGTATAAAATAACATTAAAAAAATTTTTATTATAGTTTCGTCGCCTGCTGTTCTTGTATCAAATTCTTTAGAGACGCAAAAAATTAAAATTCTTGGAAGAAATCATTCTGTCGATTGTATTTCATCTCAACCACCAAATATTCTTTCTGAAGTAAACACGACTCAAGAAACATCTACTCAGCATAGCACATCAGTTGAACAATTTTCTGAAAGGTACTTTTTACTTAACTTTCTTACAAAAACTTTTTTTGAGTGTTAACATTTTTAAAGACATTTTTTATTTTGACATTGTTTAGAGATAGAACGATTTCAGGTTCTAAAGATTTTGCCCAATCTAATCTTAGTTTTAGCGGTTTTATGTCAACAGACCATAAGGACAATAGCTATCAGACAGAATATGACGCCAGGACACAGTCATTTTGCAGTCCACGTCAATCAGCTACGACGTCTAATTTGTTGACGGTAAAAAAATTAGTTAATTTGTAAATTAAATAATATTAAAAATAAGATTATAAAACTAAATTTAATTTTTTTAGACTCCTATACACATGCCTAACGTACCATTTGATGGAATGTTAACAACTACTACGGCTCCCCATCTTTTACCTGAGTTCCCATCTTGGTCATTAATTGTACTAGGTTCAGCAAGTCTTTATAATCCATTAAAAGGAGTGGATCAAGTCGGATTTTTTTCAGGTTCAAATTACCTTTTACTTTGGGATATCCCTGTAAAACCAAATGATCTGACAGTTACTCATGTTAACGAAGAGCCTGTTACAGATGTTACGTCTCAGGAAGAACAATGGCCTGCACCGGGTCAATTGGTAAAATCAACTCCCTCACTTACAAGTAACCAAACCACTGTTTCCCAATCGTCCGGGGGTACACCAATATATCAAACTGTTTCTCTGGTTCAGTCACAAGTTAATGAGCTTTCTTCTGCCGATAAACCTTTAATAGGTAAAATTAGGAAACCCAATTCTAAAGAGACCGTTTCATTAAAGGCATATATTGGAAATGAATATGAGTGTCCTAGAGGACATAGGTAGGTATCTGAATCAAATTAAAATATTTGTAAAATTATAATTTACTTTATCACATATATAAGTCATCAAATTTATAAGGAAAAAAAATTTAACAAGTTTCATATTTTTAGATTTTTTTGTTCTGCCCCTGATAAAATGGTTAAAGTATCTAGTAATGGTCACGTCCGTGAAAATGCTATTAAATTAGTAACAGCTAACATGCCGTTATATTTTCCGTGTCCTTGTCGATCTTCAAAACCTTTACATCTTGCTCAGATAGCTCGAACATACGTTGTTACTCCTGACGCTTCTATCACCATTACGCTTAATCCTAGAGTGCAACCTGGAGAACGCGATGTCACTCCTATTTTTAATACTGGTATACGCGAAGGTATCACTCTTCCACCAAACAGCTATTGCGTTCTTCGTTTTCCGTATGTATATATTGATGAAAATGGTCCCATTCTTCCACCCGCACCTACTCAACCATTATTAACTTGCCGTCTTTTGCGTGGTATGTTTAATTATTCGATTGGTAATTGCAGTGAGGACCTTTTGAACAACTAATAAACGTTTTTTTTTTTCAAAAATACACGATGTTTTGTAAAAATCTTGTATTTTAAATAAAGACGTCATTTCTTTAATTTATATTTTAACTCTAGTCATCAGTACATGTGTTTTAACCGTACCGCTAGAGGATGAAGACTATAACGTAGATTAAAGCCTAATTTGTTTTAACTCGTCCTCAATGTATTTTGCAGCATTCTTTGGGCGTGTTTTCTCTCGAAAAAATTCATGCAATCAGTATAGTCCCCAATCCAAAGAAACTTTAAACATTTTTGAAAGTTATTTTAAGATTAGGGTTTTGTTAAAGTTATTTTTTTTTTTTTAATTTTGGAGATAAAAATTTGTTAAGAATTATTATTTATGCACCACCGCGGATATACTAATATGCACCACCGCGGATATACTAAACGTAATGCCTAAAAATTAAATGAAGTAAATACTAAAAGTTAAATAAAGTAAATACTAAAACTAAAAAATTAGAAGAAAAGAAACTGAAAAATTTCTGCTCGTTGACGGCGTTCTTGAAGTCTCTCATAAATGTTTATTAACACTAAATGATAACAAAAATTGAGTATTTAGGTAAAATTTACGTATTAAAGTAATTTTATACCATTAGACTCAATTAGCCGGTTTGGCTAATTGAGTTTACTCTAAAATTTTACTGCGTTAAATAAAAAGTTCAGAGTTAACGCTAAAATGTAGGAAAAAAGTATTCAAATATACATATGCATGTATCCATATTTTTTTGAAAAATATTTTTTCAATTTTAAAAAAGTTAAGATTTTAGATCATCTTGACTGTAAAAATTGTGAAATGTAAAACATTTTATATTTAAGCCAAAATATCAATTATAACGATTTCAGACACTTTGTAAAAACTTCGTTTCAAAAGAAAAGGAGCAATTGCTTTCTCAATTTATTACTTGCTCCTATGAAAGTTATCGCCGTTTCTAGCATTATTATTAAAAAAAATTACTAGAAAACTAAAATGTTATATTTAAAAAATAAATCATATTAATCTTGGATACATAGTTTTTCAGATTAAAACTTTTTATTTAATGTTTTGTTTTAATTTTATAAAAATATAATTTAAAACAAATTTATAAATGACCCAAAAAATATTTAATAATTATCTTATATTTGCATTTGATTGCATTGACAAGCTTCTTGTTTAAAACTAAGTCTAAGTTTTAATAAAATTATAATTTTAATAAAACTAAAACTAAGTCTATAAACTAAATAGTCTGTAAACTATAAAACCTAGAGGAATGCAATAGAAATCAAAAAGGACATAGGTCTTATATAAATCTTATAGAACCTATAGGATACATATATGAATCTTATAGGACCTATGGGATTGCTATAGGATTCCTATAGAAACTATAGGATACCTATAAGAATTCTTTTAGTCCTTTAGCAATCCTATGGACCTATAAAATTGTAATTTCTATTGCGATCCCATAGGCCAGTGAAATGAGCGGAAACAAAGGTGGAGTTCAAAAACCATTTGAAGATCTGATAACTACACCTGTGCCGATAACTACTGCACCTGCACCACACATGCGTTGCTCTTCTCATAATCTAAATTTGGTTATCAATGATAATATCTCTAATATCCAAATTATTAAAATTAACAAACTTCCATTAAAAAGGCAAACTTCCATTAATTTTTCAAGTGAATTTTGATGAAAATCATGGAAGCAACATATAAACTTTTATTTTATATTACATACGAAATATACCTTCAATTTGGTCTGTTGATAAACGTTATACCAACTTATAACAAAGGATTGCATCTGTCAACATTGTTTTAGAGTTTTTTTCAGGATGTTCAATCAAAGGTTCCAACTGTTATATAGGTTCAAATGTTTCAATTCTTTTTATGCCATTAACTTTAGATAGAGTCTTTGCAATGGGGCCAGTAAAACAATCCTTTGAAATAGTTAGAGCGTGTAGTATATGCCTCAAAGGTAATTTATTACAATGCAGCAAGTAGACCAGAATAATTGCTTACTAGTTGATTATTCCAGATTTTTCATTAACTTGTTAAAGTGTTTGTACGATCCCCCTTTCTAAAGACTCGTGGGTTGCCTTTAAAACCATCTAATTATAAATAACTATGATAGTATATTATAGTAAATTTGTATGTTTTATTATATTTTAACACTTTTATTTTAATCTTTTAACGCACTTTACCCCACTAATATATTCATTTTCTAATATATTTATTTTTCAAAAAAAAAAAAAATTATTTACGTTTCCTAGCAAATGGTAATATATAAAAAAAAGTCTAAAAACTTTCAGATTCAAATAATTTTACTTTTCCAAAATTTGCAATCCTACATACAAACTTGTAGGTATATTTTTTACGACAAAACCCCTTTTTCTGTATAATAACTTACCTAAATTGAAAAATATGACAATTGCGTCAAAAAAAAACAGGTTTCCACTGATTTCTATTGGATTCTTTTGCTTTATTTTTAATGATTCTGTGACTTTATCAAAAAATGGTCAAATAAACCTGAGGGAAGCAAAGGAACCTAAGTTTTTTTACTGTAGGCAAAATTTTTTTTTTTTTTAATTTTTCTACTTAAAGTCATTATTCACAGTAAATAATCAAAAAAATTATCCGACAAATTAAAAATCAAATATTTTGAAAGTTACCCTAATAGTATTAATAATAGTTATAACAAGTACTGCTACACTAAGTTAAGAAAAATGTACAGCAAGCAAAATACTTTCAAAATTTTTTATATAATTTTAAATGCTGTTAGAATTGTATTTGGAGCTGGTAAAGCTGTTTCTTGCGAACCTCATTTACTTAGACTTGATGCCTTAAATAATCTCAAACTCAACATCCATCTAGTTTTACAGTTCATGTTTAGAATAAAATGTGGACTGTCTTCCAAAAATTTTAAAAACATATTTTGAAGAAAGACACCAAAAGTATTCTACAAGATTTTTTATAAATAACTTTGTTGTGCTAAAATCTTATTCAATTCAGAATCCATTTTTGTGGAAAGGTTTTCCAAACATTGCTGTCAAGAAGAATACTTTACTTAATCAGTTTAAAATTAAATCAAAGCTGTGTTGTTATTATTTATTGCACACAGATTTCGATTTATCTTGTTTTAAATGTTTTTTTTTTTTAAATAGATCAATAAAATAAAATCATTCAAAACACTGCATCAACTTAAAAATTGTAATTAAATTAAGTTAAAAAATGTAATTAAGTTAATCTTAAATTTAAAGTTCAAAAACTAAATTGTTACTGACATTAATCATTATCATTAATTGCTTTTTTTAAACCTTTTTTTTTTTTTGTTTGTTTTTGTTTTGTTTTGTTTGTTTGTTTATTTGATCTAATTTATTTATGGTATTACCTATTAATTAAGACGATCTTATTTTAATTGTAAGGTGGTACTACCCTACATTTTTTTATTTCTTAAAGTATGATATTTTTCTTAAAATTAGAAACTTTTTTAGATAGTAGTTAACAAACTGAATATAAAAAAAAAACATAATTAAAAAAATTGTTGTCAAAAGATTCTGAGTCAGCATAAAAAAGCAGAAAATTTGCAGTTACAAGAACATAAATAACTTGAGTGTTATTTGAGATTTAAGCTTCAAATTTTACAAGCATATAGCTAAATAGTTGGTCGAGGGCCCCTAGTAAGATTTTTTAAAAATATTAATCCAAACTAAAATAGCATTTTTTTATTTTGCAATTTTTTATTTTGGTCAGAATCCCCTATGTAAAATAGAGGATTCTGACCAAAATAAAAAATATTTTCTCACTATTCTACTACCAGCCCTTTCTATAATATCAATCATTATAATGTAAAAATTTCAAACAAAAAGAGTTTATACTTTTTGAGATATTCATGTTCTAGTTTTAGAAATATTCAAAAAGTAGAAAACTGAGAAAAACAATTTAAAAAATCTTTCACTTGACTTTAACTCTATATTTTTCAGACGTTTTTTGTCAAATTACTGTGCACTAAGATTGAAATAATTTCCTGCCAAAATGTCTAGCAATTTAAAAATTTCAGAAAGTCCTATTATTCCTTCATTGTGTGCAATAACAGCAGAGTTCACTGCAATTTACAAAATTTTTTTTTTGATACAAAGATATTTTTTGGGCAACAATTCCAAATTAATTGATTGAATGATTCGTTACAATTTTGAGTCAAGCCATGCAAACACTTTTTTAAATGCTCCACTTTAAAAAATTCTTGAAAAATTGGTTTTAATTTGCTCATTATAACTTCTGGTAAATTTACTTCACTTTTATATGTTTTAAGTTTAGTTATTTTATCAGACTGCCACTTGCACCAACTTTTTTGCCTTTAGTATAAAATAAGTGATGTGTTTCATCTGAAGCAAAAGCAGTGCAGTGATACAATGTTGCAATGACAGAGTAACGCATCTCTAGTAAACTTGATGCATTTATCCTAATTGCCATGCCTACATAATTTTAAAGTGTATTAATGGCTTTATCAGTTAATCTTCACTTTCCATATATATTTTCACCATCTGATATCTCGCTTTTCAATTCTTTTCTCAATTGCCAACATTTATTACCTGTTCTTTATTGATAATGACCTATGCATTCTAATTTTTTCTGGAATCAATCAATCTCCATATGGTTTTAACTCAACTACTTTTGTAAAAGAACTAGTGTCTCCATCACCTATATACTTAGCATAACAAAGGTTGTATTTTTGTACAAAAGTAGAAAATATTTCAATGGCTCCAGCTGCTTCCATTAACCCTGCTGATCCAGAATGATTTATTTGACGAATATGTTTCAATTTCCACTCATCATAATTTAAAGAATTTTTTTTTATTCCGTATTTCACAACTTTTGCAAAACTTGGACATCACATAAGCGTCGATAACTTTTTTGTTTTTGTGCACTACCGCAACGACAACACCATTAAGAGAAGAATTTTTCTGCCAAGTACCGTCGACAGAAACAGAGCATTCAACAAGACTTGACATATCATCATTTG